CAGGGTCGGTGCTCTATCCACTGCGCCACCTAGCTGCCCCCACTGAAAGTTTTAAAGCTGCTGCTGGATTTTTGTTTTATGTACATATATATTGGGTTAGATCGGCTTCCAACTTCAGGACTCTGATTCCAAGTCAATGTTTATATGTCTAAGATGGAAAAATCTGGCTCCTCCCATAAGTAAAACTTAACGCATGAAAGTTCTGCGTCACACCATGCCTGCGCTGCCCCCCCAGCCCTCCTGATGCCCTCCCTAGGGAAGCACCCCAAGGATGCCTCACCCAGACAGCCTCCTTGACCAGGCGAGCTAGACGGCCCAACAGTCGAGGCAGATGGCCGAGCTCCAGTTCTCGGGCGGAATGCTCTACACACATTGCAAGCAGGGTGGCTGGGCCCAGCGCGGGCAGCTGCGTTCCGGTCCCCGCCGCCCGCACGATCTCGCCCAGGAGCGCCTCCTCCTCCTTGGGCCTAAAGCGCAGGACGGGCTCTCTACCATCCAGATAGGCAGCCAGGGCCTCCCCCTGCTCCTGCAGCCCTCTCCCACAGAGGCGGCAACAGAATGCCCAGCCGGGGCCTGGTGGGGCAGCCAGGGGCCGAGCAGGGAGCCAGGGGGGCCGACCCCCCTCGGCGACTCGGGGGTCCTTGTACAGGAAAAGGAAGTGTTCACCCAGACCCAGAAGGTCACCGGGCCTCAACTCGGCTTCCCGCAGTAGCTGCCCCCCATTATGGGTGACGGCAGCACCTCGGGCTGGGCGCACGTGGGCCGGGCCCTCGGCTCCCGCCCGCACTGTACAGTGTCGGGCCAGGATGTCAGGCGCATTCAGGAAGGTGTCCACGTGGGGGGCCTGCGCTCCGCGGGCCCCAGAGCTCCCTCCACCCTGTCCAAAGACGTGTTGCTCCCGAGTCATCACGTACACTACGAATTCCTGGGAAATGAGAAAGGACCAGTGGGTGAGGTTGAAGACCCTACTGAGATCCAGACTCCGACTCCTCCTCATTCTAGGACCTAGGGCGGAGCTCGGATGACGAAACACTGGCTAATTGGGTGCTGAGGCAGGAGGATTCTTTCCATCCCCACCTCCTCCTCCAGACAGGCTAACCTTCTCTAAGTGGACTCCCTCATTCCCCGCCTTCAAATAAGCGAACTCCGGGTGGTATCCCGCTTTCTTAGTAAACTATGCTCCCCGCCCCTGTTCTCACCTCTAAATGGGCTCTCCCACCCCTCAAGTCTACAATTTCTCCTCCTCCTCCCAGCCCCTCCCCTTGCAATGGTGGCCTTTACGCCTTCTGGGAGTTGTAGTACCGCCGTCGGGGCGGCCTCACCTGTGCCTCTCGGTAACCCTTCAGCATGAGGAAATAGGGGCGGCTGGAGGGTGGCTGGATGAGACACTGCACCAGCTGGTCCCAGTCGGCAGTGGCGTCTAAGGAGTCAGACTGGGCCGGGGCCGAAGCCGGCGAGGGCGAGCCGGGCTCCCCCGGCCCCGGGGCCAAGCTAAGTGCCTGCTGCCTCCGCTCCTGCTGCCGCCGCCGGCGGCCCTGGAGGCTGAGCTCTGACACGCTGCGCCTCAGGGATAGGTTCTCGGACCGCTCTTTGGGGCCAGGGCCAGAGCCAGACACCGCGCTGGGGGATGGTCCGGGCCCCGGCCCCGGCCCCGGGCCCGATGCTGCCCGAGATCTGCTCTTCGGAGGCCGCCACGATGGGCCCCCCAGGCCTGCAGGGCATGGACACCAAGAAAGATGCACACCCAGTCAGAGACAGAGACGTAGAGACATGAACGGAGACAGCGAGAGGAATGGGGACAGAGGCAGAGAGCCATTGAGATCGAGGTGTAGAAGGAGGAGAGACACAGAGAGAAACGACCCGGGGAGATTGATTAGACAAACACGGAGACACCAGCACAGAGAGGCTGGGTGGGGGGCGTGATGGGGAAGGGACAAAGATTCAGAGAACCCCGCACCAAAGGAGAGAAATGAGCCGAGACGGAGCCAGACCCAGGCAGAGAATGAGGCTGGGGGTCCGGGACGAGAGAAGGGGGGATAGAGACTCAGAGAACCCCGCACCAGGGGAGAGAAATGAGCCGAGACGGAGCGAGGCGCAGGAAGAGAAGGAGGCTGGGGGTCCGGGACGAGAGAATGGGGGACAGGATAGAGACTGAGAAGCGCGCACCAAGGGGAGAGAAACGAGCTGAACTGACGGGGGGGGGGGGGGGGGGGGGGGGGGGCGCGGGCCGCGGGGGGGGGGGGGGGGGGGGGGGTGGAGGAACAGCCCGCCCACCTGCAGCCCCGCCCCGCCCCACCCTCACCATCCTCCTGGGCAGCAGCCGGGCCCTCCTCCTCCAGCCTGCGCGCCTCCTCCCGGCCGCGCAGCTCGAAGCGCCGGCCCCAGCCGGGCCGCGGGCGCCACAGCTCCTGCACCAGCAGGGGGCGCTCGGAGTCGCCCAGGACACGCACGTGCTCTGCCCGCCATTCCCCAGCTCCTCCGGAGGCCGCGGGTGGCCTGCCTAGCGCATCGCACAGCGCGAAGGCCTCGGCTCCTCCCCCCGTGACGCCTTCGCCGCTGCCTCCAGGCAGCCCGCCGGCCGCCAGCCCGTAGCGCTCTAGGGCCTCAGCCACCAGCTCGCGGGCCGTGGAGCGGGGCGTGGCCAAGACGCTCTTATAATTGGTGCCCGAGGCAAGGCCGCAGCCAAAGATCTTCAGCACACCAGGGGCCGGGCTGGGGCCCCCGAAGCCCGGGAGGCCCCACGAGGCCGTCTGGGGCTCGGGACCCACCGCTCCAGCCAACCCTGGGAGCTTCTTCTCGCTGGCCCAGCGTTGGGCCCCAGCTCCGGACCCAGGGCCCGCCCCGCCCCCAGACCCGCCCCCGCCCCCGGTGCCTGCCCCTTGGCCCCGGAACAGCTGGGAGATGCGCCGGGCTCGGCTCCCGGAGGCACCCCCTGCTGCCTTCACGGCCCCGACGCGGCGCAGCTCTGGGCCCGAATGACCTGAAGAGGCTGGTGCGGGGTCACTGCTGCGGCTGCCCGTGTCCGACGAGGAAGACCTGCAGAGGCCAGGGATGCAGCGGAGATTGAGAGCGACAGAGGCGTCCAGAGACAGAGAGAGGCAGGCCAAGCCAGGGGAGAGGAGAGATAGAACCTCCCGACAGTGACCGAGAGAGGGAGAAAGATGTAGAGAAACGTGGAGAAGCAGGGAGACAGAGAGAAACAGAGGAAGAGAGACAGAAAGAGACAGAGACAGAGAGAAATGAACAGAGCGGGAGAGGGGAAAAGAAACAGACCGTCAAAAGGAGGGGGAGAGGGAGACAGAAAGACAGACGGACGGAGGGAGGAGGAGGAAGGGAGACGAAGAGGAGGGGAGAAGTAGTGGGAGGGAGGGGAGAGAGAGAGAGAGAGAGAGAGAGAGAGAGAGAGAGAGAGAGAGAGAGAGAGAGATCCAGTCCCAGCCACAACAAAGAAATAAATTCCCTAAGGGTAAAGCCCTTCTGAGGGTCAAGGGTTGGAGTTCTCACTAGGCCCAGCCAGATGGCTCAGGGGGTGGGCAGATGGCTTCAAAGCTAATTCTCTTCTGGGAGAGCTCAGTGCTTTCTTGTACCACCCCTTCCCCCCATTTTCTCCTTCCTTCCCCACCCCGCATGCTAATCAATAGGTTACTTGGCTGGTCTCTTCAAAATAGGTTGATTTTTCTCTAGTCGCTTTAGGGAAATGTTTCTAGCCTGGTTAAAATGGTATAGAGACACTCTCTCCCCAGCTCTTCCACACCCCTACACACGTACCCCTTCTGGCTTTGGGGCTCAACTCCAAGACTCCCCAAATCCCTGATTTAGGAGGGACCTTGAATGTCATTTAATCAAACCCATTCTTGAAAGAGAGGGAAGCAGTTTCCTGCCAGGGCACAAAGGAGTATCCTCACAGTTCAGCATGTACCCTTCCCTATGTTCTTTCTACCTCTGGCAACAAAGTTTCCAAAATACATCTTTTTT